ATATAATAATAAATATAATTATATATATATATATATGGCTCATTTATTATATCTACTACTGGTATTGATGTATGACAGCCTTATTTGTCAAGGAGAATGGAAAGAAAGATAAATATTTAAGTTGCATATCTAATTATATATAGTTATAATAAATAAATTTTCATTCTGTATCAAGGCTTCTCCAGAATTAGATTGTTTGCAAACTTATACTAGTTACTTAATACAAGGTATAACTTTTTCTCTGTTTATAACTCTTGATATATATTTAACTTATTCTATTTCATCCATCTGATGATCCTAAACCTGATTTATTTATAAATGAATCATACTGATTTTCACTGAATTCTCCTGTAAATAAAACTGCTGCCTAAGGAAGCAAGCCTAAACTTTCTTTATAAAGTATTATTCAACATTCAGTTAAACTTAATTTTGATTAAGTACATTTGGGACATAAAATACATAAGTACATAAAGTATAATCTTGCGTTCCCAAAGCATCCACTCTTTCTGTGCATTGTTAAAGAACAAATAATTTCCACAGTAATTTTTATTGATTATAGAGTTTTGCTTGACAAAATAAATGAAATCAAAAAATCAAGAATGTAGTTGATATATAGTTCTCAAATCATAATCCCCTTTCCTAACTCTTTCCTAACCCCTTTCCAAGCTCTTTTCAATTTATCACCTTAATAGGTTCTTAACCTATTAAGAATGTAACCAACTCAGACTATTGTTCTAACTCAGTATTGTTTAAGATGACTAGGAGCAACTCTCCAAGTTTTCAAAAGAAAAATTTCCCAGCCTTTCCTGGGATAATGAAGTAATTGAACAGGAGACTTTCTAAAAACAGTATATGATTAGACTACTGAACCATGGTTGCAGGTTCCCCACAACAAACAATATTGAAGACACACCCTAGAATCTCAGAAGAGCAGAAACTCATTACTCATTTTCTTCAAAAGAAATTATTCAAGATGTTTGATTATTTATATATTTTATTTATCAAAGTGTATGTGCTTTCTATTCTGATTCTAGGCAGTTTACAACATGAACAAGCATTCATAAAATTATGAAATTCAACCCTAAACCCAATAAATAAAGTATTTAAAATTATAAATACTGTAAGCTGTTACCTAATAGAGAACTGTTTTTTTCTCATTTTCCGAAACAGGGTAAAGGTACATCCAATTGTGGGGAGCAGATTGTTCCAGAGGAAGATGGCCACTACTGAGAAAGTCAATCTCTGGATCCTTTAATCTTTCCGGTTGCATGTCCAGATCATCTTCTGGTATCTCATTAACAATATATTCATGCATCCAGACCTGTACAACTCTTATTGGTGTTGATCTTATGGTAGACCTTCACCATCCATGAGATGATCAATTGCTCTGACTTTTGGATGGATTTAGAGAAACAGGTCATCCCCCCACCCCAATACAGAAAGTTGTCTTGCAGCTCTATAGTACAAAAAAAGAACATAATCATTTTGAGGAAAAATAAGTATGAAAAATATACTTCAAAGATGCATATCAAAATGTAAGACAATAATAACATGATATACTGTTATATTGTTTTGTTCCTGGAGCAACAATGTGAAGAAATAGCTCAACTGGTAAATATTAGAAATTACTAGCTGCACATAACAAAACACAAAATCCAAAAACACAAAAAGGAAAGCGAACTAAGGGAAGACAAGAAAACATGGTTAGGTATTAATTCATAGCTACAAAATTCTTACACAAACCTTAGAGCTGATGGACTCCAACTCCTAGTGCAGACTGTTCAAAATTGAAAATAGATGAATCTTGTGGATGTGGTTCTAAGGCATGGGAGTTGAAGAATTTATATTCTAAATAGGGTTGTGTTCCTTTGGATAGAACAATTACATGTCTTGAGAATTTTCCTAGACTCCTCATTGTTAATGGCAATTAAGTGACTTTTATAGGTTTATAATAGATGGCTTCAAATATTCAACTGGTATTGACGTAGGCAAACTAGCTGTGGTTTTTCACCTACTGATAACCTCCCATTTAAATTACCATAAGGTATTTTATCCAGAGTTATTCTAGAGTCTGGTCCAGGAACTAGACGTGATTGGGCTACTATATCTACTATAGTCTGCAAAAATATGGACAACTAGTAGATGGCAGCAAAATGTTAAAAGATGACAGTGGTCATCCAGATTTTTGCAACTCTAACATAGTATTCCTAAAGTTGGTACAAATGGCTGAGCATCACAAGGCAATGTGCATGCCTGAATGTTGCTAAAACAACCATACTGGCTATCAATTAGCTACAAAGACAGGTCAAAATCTGACTTGACATATACAAGTCTGAGCAACTTGAGACCAGAATCTTTGACAAACCATCTTCACTAGTACAGACAAAATTAGTGACAAAGATAATCACCAGAGATCCTGCTTTGTTTTTTCATATTCATATTTATATAATATATTTTATATATTTATATGTGGGAAATGGTATCAAAGTCCCCCTTCCAGTATAATATTTGGACTCATAAATAATGAAATCATATTTGTATTCGTTTCCTAACCTTGTTTAATAT